TAGAAGAAAACATAGGGAAAAGCTCTTTGACATTATTCTTGGCAGAGATTTTCTGGCTATGACACCAAAAGCCCAGGCCAAAAAAAGCAAAATTAAGCAAGTGGGACTACATGAAACTAAAAGTTTCTGCACAAGAAAGGAAATAATCAACAAAATAAAAAGGCAGCCTACAGAATGGGAATAACTGTTTGCATACCACATATCTGATAATGAGTTAAATCCAAAATGTATAAGGAACTCATACAACTCAATAGTGAAAAAATAAATAACTCTGCTGAAAAATGGACTAAGGACCTGAATAGACTTTTCAAATACACAAGATATACAATGGCTAACAGATATCCAAATGGCTAACAGGTATTTGAAAAATGGTCAGCTTCACTAATCAAACCACAAATCAAAACTACAATGAAATATTGCCTCACACTTGTTAGAATGGTTATTATCAAAATGACAAAAAATAAGTGTTGGTGAGGATGTGGAGAAAAAGCAACCCTTGAGCACTGTTTGTGGGAATGTAAATGGGTGCAGCACTATGGAAAACAGTATGGAGATTCCTCAGAAAATTAAAAATAGAGCTACCATAAGATCCAGCAATCCCACTTCTGGATATCCATACAAAGAAAATGAAAGCACTGACTTGAAGATATATGCACTTCCATGTTCATTGTAGTAGTATTTACCATAGGCAAGATGTGGAAATAACCTGTGTCCTTCAATGGATGAATGGATAAACAGAATGGAATGTTATTTAACCACAAAAAGAAGGAAATCATAGATGGACCTTCAGGGCATTATGTTAAGTGAAATAAGTCAGAGAAAGATAATACCATATGATCTCACTTATCTGTAGAATTAAAAAAAAAACAAAACAAGCTCATAGATACAGAGAACAGATTGGTGGTTGCCCGAGGCAAGGGAAAGTGGGGGTGTGCAAAAGGGGTGAAGGAGTCAAAAGGTACAAACTTCCAGTTATAAAATAAATAAGTCATGGGAATGTAATGTATAGTATAGTGACTATAGTTAATAATACTGTATTGCATATTTGAAAGTTGCTAAGGGAGTAGATCTTAAAAGTTGTCACTATAAGAAAAACATTTTGTAACTATGTATGGTGACATGTTAACTAGACTTGTGGCTCTTTTCACAAGAAAAAAAATTTTAACTATGTATGGTGACAGATGTTAACTAGTGTTAGTGTGGTGATAATTTTGTAATATATACAAATATCAAATCGTTATGTTTACGCCTGAAACTAATATAATGTTATCTGTCAATTATACTTCAATTAAAAGAAAGCTATCAAGTGTTGGTGAGGATGTAGAGAAAAGAAAACTCTGGTATACTGTTGGTGGGAATGTAAATTGGTACAGCCATTATGGATAACAGTATGGAGGTTTCTCAAAAAAATTTAAAATAGAATTACCACATGATCCAGCACTCCCACTACTGGGTATATATCCATAGGAATTGAAATTATTATTCCTTGATACCTGCATTCCTTTGTTCATTGCAGCATTATTCACAATATCCAAGGTGTGGAAGCAACCTAATGTCCACGATGGGGTGGTTAAAGAAAATGTGGCATACACTTGCAATGGAATCTTATTCAGCCTTAATAAAACAAGGAAATCCTGTCATTTATGACCACATGGATGGACCTGGAAGACATTATGCTAAGTGAAGTAAGCCAGACACAGAAAGGCAAATACTGTATGATCTATATTATATGTGGAATCTAAAATTGCCAAACTCATAGAAGCAGAGGGTAGATGGTGGTTATCAGGGGATTGAGTGAGAGGGAAATGAGTTGGCCAAGGTGTAACAAAGTTTCAGTTACGCAAGATGAATAAGTTCTGGAGATCTAATGTACAGCATGTTGGCTACAGGTAGCAATACTGTACTGTGTACTTGAAATCTGCTAAGAGAGTAGATCCTAAGTGTTCTCACCACCAAAAAAATTAACTGTGAGATGATGTATATGTTAATTATCTTGATTGTGATGATTATTTTACAATATACACATATATTGAATCCTCAAACTGTATGCCTTAAATATATACAATAAAATATTAAAATAAACCTGATGAGGTGCTGGGAACACAAGCCAATGGCTTTTCCTAAACTCTATCCTGTAACTCCTAGTGAGAATTCTTGATGTTTCTATACTAAAAATGCAGGAAGGATAGCCAGGGTCCCACCTCCCACCTCTCATATCTCCTCTGGGACTTATGTCATTATCTTCCCAGAATCTTGGCTATTGTGATAGCACTTTGAGAACTTTAAAGCATAGAGCAGTAAAAGTAAGAGTGATGGTCATTGCCATTAAACTTTACCATTCTCCTCCTAATTGTGTCTGCTCCACTCCCTGCAGCCTACCTAACTTGTTGAACAGCCCAGGCCTGTCTTGAGAAAGTAAATCTAATTATCAAACTGCTTCCTTTTTTGTCCCCCCAAAATGTGTTCTTCATGACCTCTGATGGGTGGGGATGGGAATTTAAGGCTGAAGAAGAAGTTGAAAGATTTTTCTTATTCTTGGCAGCACAGCTGAAGCACTTGTTCCTCAAGACCAATAGAATTGATGCCAAAATCACCTGGGAGAGGGAATAGCTGTATATAAGGTTAGAGGAGTAACTGGTAAGAAGGAGAGGGGTGAAAACTGGGCAACCAGTCTGATCTACCATAATAGTGTATCCTCACCAAAGTCAGCCTGGATCTTCTGACCCAGTGGAGACTTGTGTAGAGGTGACAGGTCAAAGGATGTCAGGGGATTGGTAACAACCTGGAGGGAGTAAGGGTTGGTCTTTACCTCCTAGAATTGTTTTGGGAACCCTAGAGTGGGACCCTCAGAAGAGATTGGAAAAAAAGGGAAAGGTGATGGAGGGGAAGGCATGTTTCAGAACTCAAGGATCCTACATCTCTGGCCTGGGGTTCCTGCTGCCATGTAAAGAAGCAATAAGTCTTTCCAAACAAGGTTAGGGAGGCTAATAACCATGGTGAGTCTGGGGGACACAGAAGAAAGCAAATACTGAGCCTACGAGGACATTGAACCTAACAGATCTCCAGATAAGAGGGGACTCTTGATGAACCTACATTCAGAATAGCAAAGAACAAGGTGAAAATCTCCTTGGAGCCATCATATACGATGACTCATGCCCCACATTCTGCCAGCTAGAGTGCTATTTCTCTATGGAACTTGGGGACAGCTCTTCCTGCAAATCCAAACCATGACCCTTATCCTGAACACCTCCTTACTTTTAAGGTTCTTCTCCCCAGGGATTCCATCTACCTATTCTAGGGAGTGAGGAGGGGAGAGAAAATAAAACAACTGAGTTCACCTGGAGTTTTCTCTGCCAGGTTGAGGTTTTAATCCAGATCCTTGTAAACAAAGGTAGTGAATAATTGACACACTGGGTAAAGGACATCGAGGGAAAGGGTTAGGAAGTGTGTGTGTGGTGTGATATGAAGAGAAAGAATGACATATATGTATAGATATAGATATATAGAGAAAGAGAAGTGGTGGGGAGAGAGGGAGGTGAGAGTGGGGAGAGGAGAGGAGATCCACTCACAGCAGAATTCTCACGATTTGTCACTGGAAACTGGGAGAAGATTGAGCCTCTATGAACCAGGTACTGAGGTAGGTGCTTTGATCTACATATCTTATCCTCAAACAGTCCTGTGAGGGAGGTGTGGAATGACACTTTTACTATGCAGCAAACCGACACTCTTATATGCTAAGGAATAGTAGTGAAAAAGCTGAAATTCCATCTCAGGTCTGTTTGATTCCACTCTTTGTTATGACTTCTCTAAAAGAGCAGAAGATATTCTTCCATCCTTGTTTTATAGCTCAGTTATCAGAAACCTAATTACATTGCAGAAGGAAGAATTTGGGAGTTGGAGACAGAGGAATTTGTTTGAATTCCAGCTGCACCATGTTCCAGTTCCAAAGTGTCTGGCAAGTCTCTTAGCCTATATGAGTTTGTTTCCTCACCTAAAAAACAGGAAGAATCATCTTTACCTCACAGGGTTTGGGGGTGGGGGTGGATTATATGAAAGCCCTTGTAACTTTAAAGGTTATTTATTATTTATTAATATATTTTATTTTATTATTTATTAATATATTATTGTGATTGCTATCTTTACAATGTCTTGCCCTCTTCCTCTGCCAAGACATCTGTTCATTAGCAGAGAAGTCAGGTCTCTGGTGTGGTTTATGTGCTTTCCCATATAGAACCCTCAGAGACTCTGATATGGAGTCACTATTTTCTCCTCAGAGTCTTGCAACTGTCTGGAAGATAATTTGTGCTCTTAGAACAGATTTCCATCTTCCTACAAGTTTTAGGCTTCTCAATTCCTCACTGGCTCTCAGACTTGAGGCCCAGTTAACCATTTTCAGTACTTTAATAAGATAAGCAGCCTAGAAACCTAGAAGACGCCTTAAACTCTCTTTCTTCCTGAATTCTTACAAACCCTTATCTCAAGACATCACTTGCATACTTCAAAAGCTCAAGCCAAGTCCCATTTCTTTTTTGAGGCTTTCCTGAGCCATAAGCTCACAGCAAGCCTCCTTTTTTCTGACTTTATGGATAACATTGCCTGGGTCTCATATTCAGTCTCAAGCAGCAGATTCTGGCCCTTCTCTTCACCCTAGTCCAAGGGAAGCATGGTTTTTAATGGTTGACCTTGATTTATACTATAGAGGACACAAGGACTTCTTAGAGAAAGTTAACCCTGAGATAAATAAATGTTCCTAGGTTGTATACCCAATTAACTCCTAGAGGTATTTCAGATTGATGCCCATCCTCTAATAGGATGACAGAGATTTGCTATTGTGTCATCCATTGAGGAGGTGGAGAGAGAGAGGACACAGGAAAGTCTCCACTTTCTCCAACCAGGAAATAAGTACAGCCAGAAGAGGGATGGGAGACTTGTGATCGTAGTTCTGCCATAGAGCTTATCCGATCTAAGGACTTTTGAAGATCATCTTTAGCCCTATTTACCTTTCCTGCTGCCTGGAGGTCCTTCTTGCTTTTCTTTCTTGATCCTGGAAGACATGCTGTGCCATTTGTCCCCGGACAGAAACCAGACTCTGGAGCTGAAGATGGAGATAGCTCTAGGCCCTGGGGAGGCATAAATGAATAGGAGGAGAGGGCAGGTGTACAATGAGAAGAGAAGCACTTACCCACTGGAGAACTACCAGGACAGGTGTCTCAGTAGTTCAGGAAGCATCTGTGTTTTGAATAGGTCAATTGTATTCGTGTATGTGTGTGTACATATGTGTAATGAAAAATAAGTGCGAGAGGAAGAAAACATATGCCCCAGGTAGTCTTCCTGACTTCTTTTTCAGTAAGAACAGAAAATCTAGGGAGAAGGTGGGTGTAAAAAAGATAAATAACGTAAGTAAAAAATAATAGCTAGCTGGGATTGGGGCTAGGGAGTTGGCCAGAGGCTCCTTGAGGTGAAGGCGGGCTCTAAGGCAAGGATAGGAAGTAGTATATAATGAATTCAAGACTGGCAAACTTCCCATCCCATCCCACCTCACAGTCAGAATCTTCATGGTCAACTAAGGGTAGCACTACAGGTTGGAGGTCTGTCAGCTCCAGCCTTCAAGTGCTTTGTAGAGGAGAAGGGAAACCTCATACTGATGCTCTCAAAACCACATGGGGCTGAAAGACCAAAGTAGTAACCCAGGCAAGAGTTAAATCCTCCTTTGAGAAGTTGCCTCCCAGTTTCCCCCTCCTGTTCTTCGCACCTCCAAACCCCAGCAGGAGCTGGTCTGAATATGCCCAGGAACTTACCCAACTGGGCTCCCCAAACACACTTCACCCCATCTCTTACCCCCTAGAATTTCTTATCTTTAAGCCCCATCTCACAACAGCCCCATCTCATCTGCCCCCCTGTAAACCTTGCTCTTTTCAACTCTTCTGTGACCTCAGCTATGACCTCATAAATCTGCCACCCTCAGCCTGTGCTCAGTCAATATCCAAATGATAGTGACAAAATAATGAGATAATACTGTGAAATTTTAGTTTCTTGAAATCTTTGCTGCTTCATTGACTTCCACCCATTGCGTGAGACATCCACTGCTTCTGAGAGACAGTAGGAATGAGCCCAGAAGAAGAATCCATTTTTTACTTTGAGTTTCAAAACAGAGTCTGCAAAATTTGGCTTTCAATTTTGTGAGCTAGGTCCTTGAGAGAAATAGTTTTGTTTTCAATTCCAAAAGTCTTTGACTTGGAAGATCACCAAAGACTGGTGAATGATCATGGCTGTAAAGCCTCAGGGCGGATGAAGACAGTTTTCCTGCAGAAAAACGCCAAAAAGCCAAGTGCTGAAAAGAAGGCAGGAAGTAAGTACTACAGAAGTGATGTTAGATGTAGTTGTGCAACTCTGAGAGGGATCTGCTTCTTTTTGGTGATGGCACATGTAAAATCTCCCAGTATGTTTAAAAATCTGAGAAGAGAAGGGACCAAGGACCTACTTCGTCCCTGCAACTAGAACCCTAGGAGGAACAGGCTCAGAGAGGCTGCTGTGCCAACGTGGGGAGGTTGTGATAAAATGGGAAGTGTGTTATGGTGTATTTAGGCAGACAGACAGTAAGATGGAACCTTGCAGTGCCCCACCGCCTGCCCAGGTAATGGTGGGAAAGATTCAAATCATCCCTCATGCGGAAGTACAGAGTGGAGAAGCAGAGGTCTGAAATCTGAAGAGGACTCACAACATGTGCTCCCTGTTGCAAAAGGCCACGGTAGGGGTCTGGCCCCGTGGCTGAGTGATTAAGTTTGCATGCTCCACTTCCCTGGTCCAGGGTTCACCACTTCGGATTCTGTGTGGACGTATGCACCATTCATCAAGGCATGCTGTGGCAGCATAGCACATAGGACAACTAGAATGACCTACAACTAGGATATACGACTATGCCCTGGGGCTTTGGGGAGAGAAAAAGAGGAAGATTGACAACAGATGTTAGCTCAGGGCCAATCTTCCTCACCAAAAAAAAAAAAAAAAAAATCCATAGTAGGTTCATGGACAAAGATATGGACATTTGCTTGCCTCTCTACCTGTCTTCAGCAGGATTTAAGGGAAGGTACACTACCCATCCTTAGTTTTGAAAGGAGATTTTAGGGCTCCAGGTTCTACTAGTGAGACCACCATGATTGCCCCCTAAACACTGCCTTTTTACTATTATGAACTGCTTTAAAAAATCAGCAGAAAGGCCCCTGATTAGAAGTTAGCCTCTCCCTCCCTCTAAGAGACCATCAGGGCCATTCCCATCATGACCTACCTGCCTACTTGCCTTAGTTTCCATGAGAATTCTAAACTCCTCCTTCCATCATCCCTCATCACAGGGACTTATATCCTTTTATGCCCAGATACATCCCATAATCTAACTCAAGTTACCACCTGTCTCTAACCACCCCAAATCTTTCACTATCCAAAATTGAATTCTTGATTCCACCCACCTTGGAAACCTGTTTCTCCCCATCATGTTAAATGGTGCCACCATTTATCCACTTGCTTAGGTCAAAAACCTTGGAATCATCATTGAGTCCTTTCTTTTTCTATCTTACATCAGAAAATCTTGTTGGCTTTACATTCAAAGTGTATCCTGAATCTGATCACTTGTCATCCAGGCCAAGCCAGTCATTTATCTCCTAGACTACTGCTGAAGCTCCTAATTGGTCCATTTTTATCTTTCTGCATCAACCAAAATAATCATTTAAAAATGTGTACAGATCACATCACTTCCCTCCTCAAAACCCTGTGTTCCCTTTGCATCACATTTAGAACAAAGTTCACAGTCCTTCCACATCCAGGCCTGCCCCTCAGACATCCTTTCCTACCCACCTCCATCCTACTCATTCTGCTCCAGTCACATTAGCTTCCTTGCTTTTCTTCAAATGGGCCAAACACACTACTGTCTCAGGGTTTTCATACCTGCTGTCCCTTCTTCCTAGAACACTCTTTTCCTGACCATTTGTTTGGCAATCTCAGTCACTTCAAGTCTCTGCTCAAATGACACTTCCTCAGAGAGATCTTCCTATATCCCCCGTCTAAAGCATCAGCTGCCACCACTGACTAGTCCTTTATTTTGATTTGCTTTTTTGTTGTTGTTGTTGTTGAGGAAGATTTGCCCTGAGCTAACATCTGTTGCCAATCTTCCTCTTTTTGGTTGAGGAAGAATGTTGCTGAGCTAACATCTGTGCCAGTCTTCCTCTGTTTTGTATTTGAGATGCCACCATAGCATGGCTTGACAGGCAGTGTGTAGATCCGTGCCCGGGATCTGAACCTGTGAACCCCGGGCCCACCAAAGCAGAGCATGTGAACCCAAGCACTATGCCACCAGGCCATCCCCGTGATTTGTTTTTCTTTTAATCATCACTGGACATAATATAAATACTTGTTAGTTTTGTCTGTCTGTTTCATCTCGTAAAATGTGAACTCCATGTGGGCTTTTGTCTTAGTCATTGTTGATTGTATCGACAGTGCCAAGAACAATGTCTGGAATATAGAAGGAACTCAAATGTATGTCGAACGAGTAAGCCAATCAACAGTACAGACACTTCGCTCAAAGGCATGAGTGGGAAGCCAGCCATTGCATTATTATTGTAGGCCAGTAATGAGGATATAAAAGGGCATCCCACAGAGGAAAGTCATCCTCCAGTACCGTGACATCACTTTTTCTGCAAACAGAAGTCACCTAGAGGGAAGAGGAGAAAAACATCTAAGTTGTCAGTGTGATACACACACAAAGACTAAATTCAGACTGAATTTTTGAGAATTTTATTGAGGTATAATTGACATACAATAAACAGAATGTACTTGATAAGTTTAGGCATATGTATACACCCATGGAATCATCAACAAAAACAAGATAATAAACATAGCCATGACTCAAAAAATTTCTTTGTGTCCCTTCATGATCCTTTATCTAGCCCTTCTCTGCCATTTTCACCTCCCCATCCTTAAGCAACCACTGATGTGCTTTCTGTCATTATAGTTTGCATTTTCTAGAAGTCAAATTACACTATATGTACTTTTTTGTGTGAAATATTTTGTTCAGAATTTTATTTTGAGATTCATTCATGTTATTATGCATTTTAATAGTTCATTCCTTATTATTTAGCCATAAAAAACAAGGGAATCCTGTCATTTGTGACAACATGGATGACCCTTTAGACAATTATGCTAAATGAAATGTCAGACAGAGAAAGGCAGATACTATATGGTTTCACTTATATGTGGAATCTAAAAAGGCAAACTCATAGAAACAGAGAGTAGAATGGTGGTTGCCAAGGGCTGGGGCAGAGGTTGGAGAAATGAGATGTTAGTCAAAGGGTACAGACTCCTGGTTAGAAGATGACTAAGTTCTTGGGATCTAATGTACATAATGGTAACTATGGTTAACAATACTGTATTGTATACTTGAAAGTTGCTAAGAGAGTAAATGTTAAATGTCACCACCACAAACACACAAAAAAGTGGTAACTATGTGAGGTGAAGGATGTGTTAACTAAACTTATTGTGATAATCATTTCATTGTTGTTGGATGGAGTTTATGTAAATTTCAATTAGGTAGAGTTGAGTCAGTGTTTTTCAAGTCTTCTATGTATTTACTTATATTCAGTCTACTTGTTCTGTCAGTTATTGAGAGAGAGTATTGAAATCTCCAACTATAATTTTCAATTTTTCTATTTATTTTTAGTGCCCTCAGTTTTTGTGTCATGTGTTGTGTAAGATGGTCAGATATTCTATTTATGAATTGACCTTTTATCATTATGAAATGACCTTCTTTAGTCCTAGTAATATTCTTTTTCCAAAAATATACTTTGATGTTAAAATGGCCACTCCAATTTTATTTTGATACATATTAACATGGCATATAATTTTCCATCACGTTTATTTTGATATATTTGTGTTTTTATATTTAAAGTTGGTTTCCAGGAGGCAGCATATAGTTAGGTCTTGCTTTTTTCTTTAACCAAATGTAGTTATTTCTGCCCTTTAATTGGGAAATTTAGTTTACATTTGATATGATTTTTCATACATTTGGGTTTAACTCTACCATCTCGCTCTTGGTTTTCTATTTGTCCTAGCTTTTTTTTGTTCCTTTGTTTCTCTTTTTCCGTGTCTTTGTGAATTGAATATTTTTTATGATTTCCTTTGATCTCTTTTGTTGGATTATTAACTAAACTCTTACTGTGTTACTTTAGGGGCTGTTTTATGATTTATGGTTTATATCTTTAAACTATTAGAGTCTATCTTCAAGTGATGTTATTATCACTTTATGTATGGTATAAGAATCTTACAACAATATACTTTGATTTGTCACCTGACAGCCTTTGTGCTATTGTTCTCCTATGTTATAAGTCCCAAAATACAGTATTTTCTGCTTTAAATAGTTAATTGTTGTTAAAGGAGACTTAAAAAGAATAAAATGTCTTCTATAATTACCCATGTAAATATCATTTCTGGTGCCTTCATTTCTTTATGTAGATCCAGATTTCCATCTGGTATCATTTTCCTCCTCCTTGAAGGACTTTTCTTTAAATTTCTTCCAATGCAGATCTCCTGGTGATGAATTCTTTCAACTTTTGTATGTCTCAAAAAAGTCTTATTTCTGAAGTTTTATTTCATTAAATGTAAATATTTAAATTATTCTGCCTTTCTTTATAGCTTTGTTTGAACATTTCTTCATTTTTTAGTATAACAAGTGCTTCAAAAGTAGAAATGACTTGGGTCTCTATAACATTCAGGAGAGGCTGTATGACCCCCCAAATCAATTCCCTGGGCAGAAGAGAGTTAACTACACAGGGCTGGGTTTCTTAAACTCTACATATTCCAAAGAAAGGCCTATCTTCAGGACTGGTCCCTGTCTGGCTCTTGGGAGATAATCTCTGAAACCTTGGAATAGTCTGCCTGATAAGAGTGTTTTTATAGCCTGAGGCTTTGAGCCATGTTGTACCAGTTTGACCAGGTAAGTTTATATTTAGGGTGAATGCCAGTTTTTGATCTGGAGAGGACTTAAGTCTGAGTAGCTGAGGTCAGTCATATGGGCACTGCATGTGACCAACCCCCAATAAAAATCCTGGACCTCATGGCTTAGTTGAGCTTCCCTAGTTGGCAGTACTTCACACGTTTTCACACATTATTACTGGGAGAATTAAGTGTACCCCTGTGCAATTCCACTGAGAGGGTACATCTGGCAGCTTGTGCCTGGTTTCCCCTGGACTTTGCTACATGTGCCTTTTCTCTTGTGATACAGACCTTGATCTGTATCCCATACCTGTAATAAAGTGTAGCCATAATTATGACAGCTTCTGAGTCCTGTAAGTGTTTCTGGTCAATCATCAAGCCTGAGGGTAGTCTGGGGTACCCCCAACACAACCCTCCCCAAATCTCAGTGGCTTAAAACTGGAAAGGTTTCTTTTTTGTGCACATTACATGTCCTTTCTGGGTGGGCATGGGGGAAGGGCTCTGCCTGTGTCATCCTCACTCAGGTAATCTGGGAGGGAGTTTCTTCTTCATGCTTCAGCAATTCCTGATGTAGGAAAACAGAAACATGATGAGTCGTGACTGTTTGTAATAAAAACATCTTCCTTAAACTGACACATAACTTCCATTCACATTTCATTGGCCCAAACAAGACATAGAGACACTCTTAGCTTTGAGGTGGCTGAGAAGTTCTGTCCCATCATGTGCTCAGAAAGAGAACTGAAATGTTGGTGAATAGCATTGCTAATGACCACAGCATCTGCAAGCTCTGAAAGTCGTGGCTTGAGACTTCCACCATCTAGCCAGTAGGACCTATTAAGCAGAGAAAAAGAATTACAAGAAGCAGGAGGAAACTATGAAAGTGTAGTTTTATATTCAATCAAGTAAAGAAACCAAAGGAGAGTTATGTCAGCAACATGGCAGAGTGAGCTG